TATCCGTCTCGGCATTCTCGAGGATGCCAACAACCGCGGCCGCCTCGCGAAGCTGCTGCGTTACACATCCACAAAGAGTAACGGCACCCTTGTTAGCCTGCAGGAGTACACAGACCGCATGAAGCCAGAACAGAAGCACATTTACTTCCTCACAGGTGACTCGGTTAAGAAGATGAGGCAGTCGCCGCACATTGAAGAGGCGCTGGAGCGTGACGTGGAGGTTCTTTTCATGACGGATGCTATTGATGAGTACGTCGTCTCTCAGGTGCAAGACTTCGGCAACAAACGGCTTATTAACCTCGCAAAAGACAACGCGCGCCTTGACGAGCCGACGGAGAGGGACAAGGCCATTGAAAAGGAGCGCAAGAAGAAATATGAGCCCCTCACCGAACGCCTTTTGACTCTGTTTGGAAAAAGCCAAGTGCGGAAGGTCATTCTGACAAGACGACAGAGCTCGGAGGCTTTTATTTTGTCTACGCAGGAGAACGACATGACACCTCGCATGGTGAACGTCATGAATCAACAGGCAATCTCTTCCCTCCACACGATGCGATACTCCCGCGTGCTGGAACTTAACCACCGCCATCCACTTGTGCGGGATCTTCTGACACGATTTGAGGCGGACGCAAACGACCAGACTGCTATTGACGTGGCATGGGTTCTTTTCGGCACGGCCAACCTGCAGGCGGGATTCCCCGTCTCGAATCAGGCCATGTACGCTAAGCGCGTGAACCGTCTGCTGAGGGGCCGCGTGGGTCTTGCGGCCGATGACACGATCTTGCCCCCAGACGACGACGAGTACGACATCTCAGACGTCAAGCCCGATACCACCGGCACCGACGAAGGACTGTTGCTTCCGGTGGACAACGACGGGGATGAATCGTCTGACAAGGAAGACGCGGAGCCAACCGCGGCAGAAACGAAACCAACAAAAACGGAGGATGACGCGGGTGATCTGTAAGGTTTGCACCTCCCCACAGGGGACGAGGATGCTTATTGAGCTTTTTTTTTTTGGCCATTATTTTATAGATACGCTGCTTTTTTAATATTTCCGGCGGATAATGAAAAAGGCATGAAAACAGAGGTAGGGAAGGGAGGAGTAAAGCGCGACAGAAACAGAGACACACCCATGCACCTGAGGGAGAGGAAGACGAAAGGGAGGGAAAAAAGACTTTTGACGTGGTGCAGTTTGTATGTTTTATGTGCGCCACATTTGTTGGATTTGCAAACGAATTCACATCGGGATGTCTTTTTCTTTTCTTTTTTGGTTCTCCCCTTCTTTTTTTTTTTTTTTTTTTGAGGCAACAGACCGACTGCAACTACGGTGGTGATGATGGCGGGGTTCTTTCCTTCCATTTTTTGCCTTTTCTTTATTTTTCCTCAATGCCCCTTCTCTTTTTATTTTTCAGACCGCTGTTTTTTGGCAACGACCTCCTTTTATTTCGCTTTTCCACTGCGTGCGATGAGGGGTGCCTTTGTTGAGCTCTTATTCACAGTGTGCGGCGCCGCGGGGAGGCGACAAGGCAAAAACGTCTTCCTTTTTTTGATATTATTTAATTTGACGTGAGTTTTTTTTTTTTTTCTTGACACTGCAGCGAACGCGTGTAGCGAAGTGGTCGGGCAGCATCACACACGCTCTCAGTTACACACTACTGGACGCGTAGAAGAACAGGGTTAGGGGTTAGGGGCGATGGCGACAACGAAGAAAGATGCCGCGCTGCCACGCAAGCTGAAGGGCTCCGTGGGCACCCTCCAGCAAGCACTGGACAACGGCCTGGACCATTTTTTTTCATCGCGCAAGGCGGGCGAGGAAACGTCACGTCAGTGCCTCTCTTCCCTCTTTTTCCTTGCATCGTCGCTGCATACGCCACGGCTGCCTTACTACAAAAAGTCACTGGAAACAAGTGCGGCGCGGCATGTGACGGTGGAGCAGATATGGGGACAGCTGAACATGTTACTGCGTCCTGTTTTGCGTCGCCTACAGGACAACGTGCGACGTCTGCAGAAGACAGTGAATGTTTCCTCTGCACCACAGAAACGCGGCAGCACGCGAGTACAAACGAAGCGGCTACGAGACGATGATGATGTTGATAATTCCGATGCTTTAGAGGAGGGCAAAGATTTACTCTCAACAAGAACTTCGCAGCTCAGCGAGAGTGACTTGGATGAGGAGATTGCGCAGCTTCTTGTCGAGCAGCAGCAGCAGCAGCAGCGAAGAAAGCTTGCGAAACCTGCCAGCAAGAATGGCCACAACGGGGACGACTTGTGGCGTTACGCACTTGGAAAGGGTGATGGCGACGGCAACGACGAAAACGGTGATGCTGACGTGGACGGCGAGGGGGATGATGACGACGATAGCAACAATGATTTGGCACGTATCCGTCGTAGGCATGCTCGGGCGATGGCAGGGGCCGATGATGATGATGATAACGAGGAGGAGGAGGAGGACGAGCGCGCCGTCGAGGAGTTGGCAGCAATGAAGGAAATGTACGGTGAGGACTTTGTTCCGGACGAGGATGACGGTGACGGGGCCGAAGGTGATGATGACGACCCGCATTTCGAAGAGGACCTTGCTTGGGATGACCCGACTGCCGTGTTCAAGGAGTCTGACGGGATGTACTTTGGAAACGACGACATTCTCGCTGATGACGGTGCGCAGGAAGAACACCAACAGCACGAAAGGGGGGATGCGGTCGGTGAGAATGACGACGATGATGCGGAGCTCAACGATCCCAGTCTGACGATGCTGCAGCGGGAGCGGCAGCGGGAGCGTCGTCTTGTGGAGCGGCTGGAGCAGGAACGGCTGTACAGCACGCAGTGGGCGATGAGCGGTGAGACGAGTGGGAACCAGCGACCGCGTGATGCGCTGCTTGACGAGGAGTTGGACTTTGAACACGCCATGAAGGCGGTGCCTGTCATCACGGAGGCAGTGACGGCCAAACTAGAGGACCGCATTCGCCGCCGCATCCTTTGCGCCAACTACGACGATGTGCAGCGCCGCACCTCCCTCTCGGCGCCGGGAGATTTGGTCACGACGCGCCGCGACGCAACAATCGACTCGGAGAAGTCCAAGCTGTCGCTGATGGACCTGTACGAGAAGGAGTACCTGGAGCGTGCGCGGGCGTTGGAGGAGGCAAGCGGTGATGCTGCGCAGAGTGCGGAGCCACTGACGGAGATTGAGAAGGACGAGCTGCGGGCAATTCAAATGTGGCGCCGGCTCGCCCAGCACCTCGACGCCCTCAGCAACTTCTACTACACACCAAAGCCGATACAAGAGGAGTTGGCGGCCCGCGTGCGTGCAGTGAACGGCCAGGCCCCCGCCATCGCGTTGGAGACAGTCGGCAACTTTGCCACCACCCGCGAGGCCGCACTTGCGCCGCAGGATCTCTACCGCAGTGCCGACCGCAAGTACGCGGATGTGGGCATCAACGAATTGGTGCCGCGTGAGAGGCGGGCGCTGCGCCGTGCGAAGAAGGAGCAGACGAAGGCGGCGAGTGATCGCAGGGAAAAACGTGCCGCGCAGGCAAAGAAGAGGAAACAGCAGTTGCCGGAGCCGCAGTAGCGGAGGGTGCACTGAATTGTGTGGGACTGCCCAAGACAGGAGCAAAAAAAGAAAAAAAGAAGGAGACAAACACGCTTCTGCGCTGGACTCATCTCGAAACGGCTAACATGACAATACATACACATATATATTTATGCACCCTGAAATAATAATAAAAAAAGGAACACCTGCAGATGATGGGAGGGAAGATTAAGCGAGACAAAATTAAAGGGGTAGCGAAGAGAAGGCAACACGGCCGGAGGGACGGGGAGGGGGAGTTACAAACGGGAAAAATGAGAAAACACGCAAAGGATTTGGTCGAGAAAGACGAAAATAAACGAGAAAAATGAGGGGAATACGAGTCTTTTTATTTGTTTTTGTTGTTGTTTTTTGGAATTTTTTGTTGCTTTGCCTCGTTGACCTTCTTTGCTTCTACTTTTTTAAAACTCTTATTTGTGCCACGACGAATTCTGGTGTTGCGAGGCGGAAAAACGGAAAGCAGCGTGGCATCACTGTTCCCATGAGCGTTGGCTTGTGTGACTGCTTCTCGCAACTGCCTTGTGGCGTTGTGAGATATTTTTTGTGCTCCTTCTCTTTTTTTTTTTTTCCCCGCATGTATAGTCGCGGAGTGGTTCCTGGTCATCAGCGGCAACAGCGCGGGAGCACGCAACGTCACTTGTCATCCACTCGTTCTCGCTCTTATTGTACATTTCCCCTTTTCAGAGATGGCGGTGAGGCTGGTACCGCAGCTGCCTGTGCGGGTGCTGTCGCCGACGGAGTTTGCGACGCGACTGCGCAGGATCCGTGGAGGCCAATCGACTTCGTGGGTGGCAGACAGCCACGCCGTGGTATCACGCGTGTTGGGCAGCTCGAATGACCCGCAGTTTGACGCTCCGGAATCTACGACTGCTGCAAGCCCATCGCCATTGCGTCAGAATGTGGAGGTTGTCATTGGTGATTCACCGGCGCGGGATACTTCTGGTATCCCGTGGAGCCTTCCTGACAGCGACGTGCAGCTGCTGAGTCCTTGGAGCGGTAATCCATGTCCTTCATCGACGGGTGGTGACAAAAAAAGGTCGGCATCGCCGCGTCTCTCGCCCGCGGGGAATACGGTGACGCCCAAGGCGAAGAAGGCGAAGAAGCCAACGACAGCAGGCAACAAACGGAGACGCACCATCGAAGAATTTCTCTCGCGTCAGAGATGACATCTCCGTTTTTTTTTATTTTTATTTTTTAATAACTTTTCTAGAGTGTTGGGGATCCGTCTGCATGATGTGGCGTTGTGTGCGGGTTAAAGCGTGTTCACTGTACAGTACTGTGAGCGAGGCTCGGTGTTGCATCCACATGGAGGCCTCAAAAAAAGAACAAAACCATATGTAATTTACCAGTTGGATGATGATGATGATTTTTTTTTTTTGAGGAGCGGCGTGTCTTTACGACAATAGGCACGACTTCTTCTTGTTACTGTTGTTTTTCTTTCTGCGTTTGTGCAAGCAGACACTGCCACACGCACCGCCTTCTTTTTTCTCACTAAATCAAAAGGAAAGAGGCAGAGATTAGCAACACTTGTTTGGTACACACGCACACGCCAGCCTGCATCTGTAGGCCGACCCAGAAGATTAAAAAAAGAAAATAAATAAATAGCGAAAGAACTGAAAATGCCCTCCTTTAATTTTCATCCCGGATTTGCCGGTCACGGCATGCGGTGCAATCCATGGCAGCCAACGCAGTACATTCTCACGGCGGCCGAGCACTTTGGTGTGGTAGGGTCAGGGAAAGTATATATTGTAAACACGGCGCCGGGGATGCCACCGGGGTCTCTTGTTTCTCTTTTGGGATGCTGGGGAACGAGCGACGGAGCGTTTGATGCTGCTTCAGCGAAGTTGACCAAAATATTGCGGCTGTGGCATGCGGTGATGGTGTGAAGCTATACAACGTACAGCAATCCTTAAATCTTGATGGTGCTCCACCTTTAGTGCACATTATGGAGCATCAAGGGGAGGTAGCGGGAGTGACGTGGAATCGTGATAACTTTCTTTCGTGCAGCTGGGATGGATCTGTGAAGATGTACCAGGCAGCGAACCCGAATGCGTCTTGCATGACATTTCAAGAACATATGAAAGAAGTGTATGAGGTTGCCTGCTCCACACGTAATCCCGCATCATTTTTGTCATGCTCTGGAGACGGTACCTGGAAGCTGTGGGACGCACGGACACCGCGCTCCGTATTGACGCAGGTTGGGCACAACCATCAGATTGTTCTCAGCATTGATTGGAATAAGTACGACGGGTGCCTTTTTGCTTCTGGTGGTGTGGACCGTACAGTGCGGCTATGGGACCTTCGCCGGCCAACGCAGCCCCTTGCTTCACTTCCCGGACATGAGAACGCCTGCCGCCGTGTCCGCTTCTCACCTCACTCACGCGTGCTGCTGGCATCAGCTGGCTATGACTGTCGAGTCTGTATCTGGGACCTCAACCAACCGCAGCGTCCCCTTGTTGGTCGCTACGCCCATCATCGCGAGTTTGTCGTTGGGCTTGATTGGTCGCTGGCCGTGCCCAACGCGCTTGCTTCCGCGTCTTGGGACGGACGGGTGTTCTTCTGGGTGAGCGGGCAGCAGGTAACGCCGTCACCGCCACTGCCACAACTCCCTGCCGCTGTGCCGCCGCCACGAGTCCGGGTGCCACGGAATAAAGTGCTCCCGGGACTTCCGCCTGCGCCCCCTGCCATCCCCGTTCAGCAGTAGGCATGGGGGGCCAACACAATTGCGTGGCGTGGACGCGGGAAGTAGGGGAGGAACTACAGCTAAGCAGTAAATTTCATCGTGTGCGTGTGTGTGTTTCACGGTGCGGGTACTTCTTCCTGTCTGAATGGGCCCATTTTTCATGAGGGGAAAAGAAACAGGGAACGCCGAGAACAGCCTTTTTGTGTGGGCTGGAATTCTGTGGTTCCACCGCGCGCGATTTCACTTTTGGTGTTGCATCATCAAATATTATTCATTTTTTTCTCTCTCTTCCCGCATGTCTGTTGTGTATGTTTGCTCTTTTTGAGTGTGCCGGATTGGGGGTAATAGGACGCGAAGAAACAAACCCAAGGAAACTCAGTTACATCTTCAGAGAGACGAATAAAACAGAAACAACAACGGAAGAGGGGTCCAAAGATGCCGCCAACCACCCGTCGTAAATGGCTCGCAACAGCATTGGTCTTCAGTGTGCAGGATCGTCGCAATCGTGCTCGCGCGTTACGAGAGGTACGTGAGAGGAAAGCCGCTCTCCTGGCCCTTGGTACGAATGATGTTGCGCAGCGCCTGCGAGCCATGCGTCCACCGGATGACATCATGGACAGCCGCGGCGACGGCATCGGGGAGAAGACACAAAAAGCCGGACAGAACTCGAAATTCACGAAATCCGATGACGCGGCTACGCCTTTTCGCCCTCCCATGTCGTACGAGCAATGGCAGGAGGAGGGCTTTCCAGTAGGATGCTGGAGACCCCTGCTTTTGACCGAGTTGTACCACCCACTGGAAGCAGAGAAGAACTACTTGGGGAAGAAGTACAGCTTGGCCCCGACGAACACAGAAAGGCGTGGCACTGCGGTATCCAGGCAGAGACGCTAAGCGAAGGGTGGGGAGGAGTTGTTTCAGTGGAGTTTACTTTTTGTGTGCTCATGGAAAAACAAAACAAAAACAACAACAACAAAAAATAACAACAAAAGCTCGCTTTCCAATGTCGGTGCCTGGGCGCCTCTCCCCACAAATGTATATTCCCGCACCTCCTTCATGGTGCATTCACAATATATCTTTTTTTATTGTTAAATGTGCGTGGATGCTTTTATATTATCCGCCAAGTAGTTTGGCAAAGAAAAAAAGTGTATGATTTGAGCGTCTTTTTGCTTTTGAAGAGGGGGAAGGATGTCTGATGGGACGTAAACTTCAGGAGCGAAGCTTTTTTTCTTCGCATTTTGCGTTATGTTTTTTTTTTTTTTACTTGCGTGCGTGACGGTGTGCCTCCGTTGCTGCCGTGCCCTTTGGAATCTTTCTTTCCACCTCTTTTCCCCGTGTCACGAAACGCGATGCCTGCACGAGATACATGTATATATATATGCACGGCAAACTCTTGCTTTTACGGGTTTTCATTGTGCGCTTATTATTATTTTTTTATTTTTGCGGGCTGCCGCGTCATGTAATTGTACCTTCTCCCCTACACGCAGAAAAGACACGAATAGACTGCATTACACCACGCATGCCAGAGGGACCACGTGTGTTGCTGCTTGGCGGCCTGGGCATGATTGGCCGTAATTTCCTCAAGTACATTGCCGATCACGAGCTTGCGTCATATGTTTGTGTTGCGGACAAAAGAGTTCCAGAGATGTGTTTCTTCACGCAAGTTTACAAGGATCTTTTAGCACTTCCATACGTTGAGGTTGTCCAGGTTGATTTGTCCCAGAAGGAACATGTTGATCGTGTCTTTGCAGGGGAGCCATTTAGTATCATCGTTAACCTTGCCAGTGAAACACGGTATGGGCACTTGGACGTTATGTACGAGCGAAGTATCCTGCAGTTACGGACTCTTTGCGCGCATGAAGCTGCCAGAAAAGGCGGATGCCAGCGCTACGTGGAGGTGAGCACTGCCCAGGTATATGAGTCAAACAACAAATCTCCGTCAAAGGAGACAGGCACTCGATTGAAGCCCTGGACAACAATGGCGAAGTACCACCTTGAGGCAGAAGGAGCCGTTTCATCCATCTCGCAGCTCCCATGGGTGATTGTGCGGCTCCCAATCGTTTATGGACCAGGAGATATTTGTGGTCTTATGCCGCGCATTGTTTGTGCCGCGGTGTACGAAAAATCAGGGACTTGCATGGAGTTCTTATGGGGAAAAGACCTACGAATACATACGGTGCACGTGCAAGATGTTGTTGCAGCTATGTGGCATATTGTGTGTGCCGGTGCCATTCACGAGGTTTATAACGTCGTGGATGATGGTGACACAACACAAGGGAGCCTGAACGCCGTTCTGGAGTCCATGTTTAAAGTAAAGACGGGATATTTTGGGGCTTTTATGTCCAATTTGGCATCCCTCAAATTGGAGGAACTTGTGGAGGAGGCGAACGACGGTCATATGGAACCGTGGACGAAGATGCTGAGGGAGCATGGCATCAGCGTCACTCCTCTCTCTCCGTACCTGGAGCCCGAGCTTCTGTACGATAACCCGCTGGCCGTCGATGGGTCGAAATTACGGGCGCTCGGGTTTCGGTGCAGCTGTCCGAAGGTGACGAAGGAATTGCTCGATGATAGCTTAGACTACTGGGTCTCTATTGGGCTTTTTCCCAGGTGACGGTTGCGGTTTTTTCTCCAGCGCGGTGGAAGAACGAGAAGGGGAGCGGGGTGGGGGAGAGACAGCACCCACCCAAGAAAAAAACTCACTTGTCAACTATTCAATATCGATGATCATAACTGAAATTGACAAGAAACAACAAAAGATGAAGCGTTTCTTTTTTTTTTTTTTTTTTAGTCAATGAAGTCTTGTTTGTCACGGATGACTGGCAATGTGTAATCCGTTGAACCTTTTTTATTTTTTATTTTTTATTATTTTTTATTGCTCTGCCTCCTTTTTTTTTGGGGGGGGGGGGGGGGGGGGAGTTCACAAACACAGTTGTATATATATATAAATATATACATCCAACAGCGTGGAAGATGTTGTGCCTAACGCGTCTGCGAGCCAACGTCAACAAGGTCGCCTTCATGGAAATGGTGAAGGATCTTCGCTTTCGCACTGAGGCTCCGATCGCGGAGTGCGGCGCCGCCTTAAAGGAGACCCACGGCGACGTGGAGAAGGCGATGGAGGTGCTACGCAAGAAGGGAGCGGCAAGGGCGATGAAAAAACGGTCGCGGGTGACGGAGCATGGCTCTGTCGTCGCCTGCGTTGGGGGCCTGTTCGGTGCGGCGGTCATTACTGTTTGCAGCGAGACGGATTTTGCTGCACGTAGCGCCCAGTTCCAGAACACCTGTGCCAGGGTGAAGGTTGCACTGCAAAGGAAGATCATTGACAGCAAAGGCGATGTCCTCACAAATCCCACGGAAGCGCATCGCTCCCTTGTGGAAGCGACAGCGGAGGACATTCGATCTTCTATCGCTGTCTTGGGCGAAAATGTTACAATCAAATCGGTGGAGTCGCTTCGACTGGCGCCGCATGTGGCAGAGCACATATCCATCGGTTCTTACACCCATGGGTCGTTGGATGTGCCGGATGTTGGCCGGATCGCCGGAGTTGTCGCCGTAAGCCGCCTCGACCCCACGAAGGAAGTGCAGGCGAGTACGCTTACGGATGTTGCAAGGCACTTTGTAGCCTCTAGTGGTGCAGAGGGGAACTACGCCCACCAAAATTTCTTTGGAACGGAGGAGACAGTGGGACAATGGCTGAAACGCCATGGTCTTTGCTTTAGCAGTAGCCTGGTGGTGGATTTTGGCAAGGAGCCGATAACACACACAGCTTCCCAGCCACGCAACGCCGTCAAGCATCCTGAAGGTTGAAATAGCGACATCTTTCTTACATACATACATACATACAAACGTTACTTACATGGCGGAATTTTGTTTATGAGAGGAGACAGGAGGAGGAGGAGTGGGGGAGAGGGAGAGACGGGGAGTGGTTACTTTTTGAGTTCAAGAATTAGTGATGGGGATGGTTATGCTTTTCTTCAAACATTAACACCAGGACGTGGAGGATAATGCCTCCTTTTAAAAAAATGCACCTCCTTTCAGAGACTAAGAAGTAGATGCAACGGCTGGATTGGGATTCACGGGAAATGTCAATTATGTCTCTTTTCTTTTTCTTTTCTTTCTCTCTGCCCTGCTGATCCAGAAGTACAATAAATCTCTGTGTGATGTATGCGAATGAGACCGCGAAGGACTGTGAATCAAATCTATGGTCGCAAATGGGAAAAGAGGCGGGGTGATGTCGGCTCTCTCCCCTCCTCTTTGGTTCACACGGATAAATTATGCGGGCCCACGTGGTATCTTCTTTGGGAAGCGTTTGTGCGAGTTTTACCAGCAGCATGATCCCTCTGCCGTTTCCGACTGTCACACACGGCTGCGGTAATATTCAGGGCGGTTGGGAGGGGAAGCTGTTCCACAAAGCAGGTGATGTGTTGCGTCGTCAAGGGGCACCGTCGTTGCGTGCCGCTGCCCCATGACTCGTCGATCTCCTCTCGATTGGCAGCCGCATTGGAACTGACGCGAGGGAAAGATCCGAATTTCGTGACGCAAAGACTGCTGCACGAGGTGTTTTTTGGGTGGTCGGGAAGCCGCCGGTTGTCGAATCTGTCGCGGGGCACATCTCCGTGGTTCACTCGTCTCCGGCGGCGTTCACGTCGCCAGCGGCAGTGCGAATGGTGGGGGGTGATGTGCATCCCTGCATGAAGCTTGTTTAAAGGGCGGGACAAGAAACTCATCGCTTTTTTTTCTTTTTTTTTTTTTAGTCGGCCGCTCCCACAGGGAACGGGGCCGGAGGGGGATAAAGGCACACAGACAAGGGAAGAGGAATTGGCGGGAGCAACAAAGCGACAGCGTGTGGGATTTGTTTGCATGCGGACGGCGTGGCTTTTCGACAACGATGATCGCAGCTCCTGACATTCAACTCGTTCGCCGTGAGGTTACGACGGTAGCATCGAGGTCTCCGAGGTGCATGGTTGTGTATCCACTTGGAAGGAAGAGTAGGCAGCGAATAGGGGTTGCGGACAAAAATGGCATCATGTCCGTCTTTTCACTGCGAAAGGCGATGGAGCGCGTGGCGGTCTTTGAAACCCCACCTCAGAACAGGCCTGTGAGCTGCGCGACCATCTATGAGGACCAACTGTTTTTTGTTCATGGCAGCACGCTCGAGGCGTACTCGCGGAAGGGTAGGCGCTTTTTCTCGTTTGACACCAACGTGACGGATGTCATCCACACCCTTTTTGTTTCCACTCCATTCATTATTTGCTGCGGCAACTTTATGGTGACTGGGTTTAGGGAGGCGAGTGAGCTCGGCTTCTACATGGCACCAGACAGAATTAATGCCATGGCGGTTTTTGCTTTCTTTTCCGTCGCGAATCTGGAGGAACGCAACTTTGATGATTATCGGTGTATTCTTGGCTGCAATGACCGTACCATTCGTATGCTGCGGAGTCATAAATCCATAGATGAAATTCGTTGTGAGGCTCCCGTGACGTCCTTAGGTGTCAGTGATGGGACGCGCAGGGTGTACTACGGGACAAGCGCAGGGTCGTTGGGTTGTCTGGATATTAGGAGCGGCGACTCTTTCCTCTCACGGGTTTTTAGTTTTGCTCCCGATGACCACCAGGCAGCCGTAACCGCCCTTGCTGTGTATGATATCAACATGGACGAGAGAGAGGAGCTGCTGGTGGGTCGCCAGGACGGCTCGGTGCAGATTTTTTACGTTTATGCGGAGGAGGGGGCTGATAGCGGTCATCCCGTTTGCATGTGGTCGGGGAACACGGATGAGAGCGTCCTGTCCATGGCTGCTGGCTTCATTACAGATTCTCGCCGCCCAGGCGTGCTGGTACATTCCTTCAGTGGCAGGATCACAACCTTCACACTAAAGGAAGAGGAGCATGCTGCACCGAAGGAGATGGAGGCTGTCGACGCCGTGCTAGAGTGCACAGATGCCCAAATCAACGAAGCCCGCGAGGAAATTGAAGGCCTTAAGCGGTCAATTGAGGCCAGAACGCGGGAGCTGGCGGCATACAGCGGGGTGAATAAAGGCGACACACCATTGCTTGCCGTTTCTTCCACCTTCAAGACCAAGGTGACACTATCGCAACAAAAAGACAGCCCTGCACTGCGACTTATATTAGAGGTTGATACTCCGCTGGACTGCGTGGTGCTCCAGAGTGAGTTGCATCTGCATTTTTTAGAGAAGGAGTCTGCGGAGGTAATTGTGCAAGAGGAAATACCGCGGAATAATCCCTTGACTAAAACAATTGCCATTTTGCATCCCTTAGAGACACGGAATTACAGCTGCTCCGTTGCCTTTTGGGTGGAGGATGGGCAGTGGGGACTGCTGAAAGTCACTGCATTGGCAGCTCCTGCCCCCCGCACCGCACAGATGAAGATGGTGCAGTTACGACCACTGCCACTCTACGCTCGTGTGGGAAGAGTCGATAAGGCAGTGACGGAAGGAAATGCGTCCCCCGTACTTTCTACAATGGAGGTGCGGGGAAATTTTAGCGCCAGAGACATGCATAGCTGGATATTCAGATTGCTGCCCGGAACCCCTGAGATGTACCAAGAAAAAATGTCTACTTTGAGCTACGAGGACACATTTTTTCAAAACCCTCTTGAGGTTAAGTACGGCGATGGAAGCGCATTGTTCACCACAGAATTGTTGCAGGTTTTGATGGTTACGGAACGGTTTATTCGTTACTGCGCCTCCGAACGCTCGCTAGAGGTGAGCTTCTCTGTGGAAATTCATAGCGAGGCGGTGCGCTCTAACCTTTCTCGCATTGTCCCACGCATAGCGGCGTGCAACAAGGGATTGACAAGCTTCCGTCTCCTTGAGGCCCTTCAGGAGCTGCAGGGTGGGCAACAAACGGATATGGTCTGTTTTCCCAAGGAGTACCAGCGGATACTCAGTCAGGCGGATGAGACGAAAAAAGAGCATGCACAGGCAATGGTCACAAGGGGGTATTTGCAGAAGGCGTTTGTGTCCCTCTGCAGCAGCGTGGTGGACATCGTGCCGAAGAAGCCCAAGATGAGCCTTGTTACAAAAGAGGCCTTGGCTGCTCTGACCGACTGCAGTGACGCCTCGGAGATGATGTCACGGCTAGATAGCCTCTTGCTTTGTGATGAGGAGGGGGAGGGGCTGAAAAGTACAGTTGACGAGGGAGAGGGGGGATGACACACACAACGTAAAGGATAGAGATGGGGGGAGAGAATGAGAGAGAAGGGGGTGGAAAAAAAATGAAAAGGAAAGGAAACTGCCTGTTTTTTTTTTGTTTGATCGATGGATCGGTTGGATGGCGGTGAGAATGAGAAGAGCAATAACAAAAAGAAAGGGTTTTTCTAATTCTTATCGACGATGTTTACATCATTGACACCATGCCGTTTCTTGCGCGGAGCGCATCTCTTGTCGTTGTTGGCCCTAGGGCTTTCTTACCCTTCTCTCTCCCTCTCTCTCTTTATTTCCGTGCGTGTGTCCGATATCACTACTTTCTTCGTCGGTTTTTGTTTTGTTTTTGCGGCTCCTTGTTGGTTTCACACCGTGTGCTTTGTCGAGGGAAGAAAATGGATCCACTGGAGGTTTTGCAGCCACGGCCGCCGCCGCAAGAACAACAACAACTTATTTCATTTTTACTGCATGCCCCCGTTCATCACGCCACGTTCTTTTCCTTGATGCTGGTCGAGGAGTTGTTGCGGCACGCCCGCAAGGTGGATCAGGAGGTTAGTTTTTTGTCCCTGCCTTTGCCACGGTCTCGTGAAAGCACGCGGGTGTTATCACGAATCGTGCAGGAGAATCGATACGAGGAGTATTGGCCCAATGAGCACCCGGCATTGGACGAGGCACGTCAAAGTGCCCCATCTGCTTCGTACCTTCTTCGCATTGGCGTTCTCCGCGCGCTTGGGTTTAACACAACAGGAGTGGATGACTTTGTCGACGACGTTTCCCTTGCGCTGGGGAGGCGCATTGTGTCAGTCGCGCCATTACCTGAGGACACCGCACCCGTGCCCCTCCGCTACCGGGAGGCGGCGCAGGAGGAGCTGCGGCATGTGGCGTTGGGTGAATGGTGTGAGGATCTCATTCACTTTACGGCATTTCGAGGGTTCTCGGCGGAGCAGGTGCGGTGTGTGTTGCTCACAGCCATGCATCTCATGGGTGTCGTGGCGGATCTTTCCCCTGAAGCCACAGACGTGGAAGCGGAGGGGCGGTGCACGCAGTTGTTGGAAGAACTGCTTATTGAGCAGGCCTGTGGGCTGCCAAGGAAAGTTGTGGAAACGCATAAGTCGTGGCGCACGGTGACATCGGAAATACCCGACCCGCAGTTTGTGGCCGAAATGGAGACAGCAATTTCGCAGGAGAAGAACAAGAAGCGAAGGGCAGCACTGCAAGAAAAACTAGAAAATGCCCCAATAATTAATTATACACGACAGGAACTACAAAAGGAGAGATTTTTGACGGAGATCGTGGTGGGTCCTTACTTTACGCTCCAAGAAGTAGCGCAGATACTCGATTATTTTTCCTCTTCAGTCGTTCGGCACTGGAGGCTGTTCCGCGCCTTTTTAGCGGAACCACAGCCCGTCGAGACACACGATGAGGTGCAGGTGCAGTGGGATATACACAGCTTTTGTTTGCCGCCGCTTGAGGAATTTGTGCGGGACGACATGTATGAAATAGAGCAGGAGCGACGTGACCTCATGAGCGCGTGCGAGGATGCCATTGAGAACGCCTTTGAAGAGAATTTCATACAGCCTCTCTTGGCGTTACGGCGAGAGAAGGATGAGTTGCTGGAGTGCTTAAAAGAAAGGGAGCGCCAGGCGGAGGAGGACAACATACGAAACGCACTGGATGGCCCTGGCTACATGCAAGTGACCCGCGGCTTTACACTCCGCCTGAACAAATGCATCGAGCGGAACGAGAGGGTGGGAAAGCTTGAGATGAATGAGAAGCCGCCAGACTCAACACCGCCCTCACCGGAGCCATTGTCCCCGCAAATGAGCGCATCTTTGTCTTTGGCAAACAAAAATAGGAGGTCAGTTACAACACGCCAGGGCTCGGGTTTGGCTGGGGTGGCGGGAAACCACAAATTGGCCGCTGCGGCGCCACCCTCGTCGCACAGTGAGAACCCGGCCGATGCGGTGTTTTCATTGGAGGAGGTGGAGGCACGCCTGGAAAAACTAGAAAATGCAATGCGAGAGACGAGGTTGTCCTCTCACGACAGGGGCAGGAAGAAGCAGGCGGGTGGGTGATTAGAATAGTGCTGATGGCGCTTCCATGGCGGGCATTTTCTGCGGTGATGGTGGCGCACTTTTTAAATTTTGTTTTGTTTTGTGGCAGACGTCAAAAAGGGGGCTGCGATGTTTTATTTATTCCTGCGCCCGTGTGGCACCCTTTTTCTCTTTTCTCTCTTCTCTCTCTCGCCGCATGGGGTGAGTACGGGGTGAGAAGATGCAATGTAAACCAACAACGCGAGTTATGTGGCTGCTCTCTACATCTTTTTAAAAATTATTTGTGTGTGTGTGTGTGTGCGCTTACTTTGTTATGCGCGGCGGGCAGTCAGTGCAGACGCAAATGCACACAACACTTTTACTCTCGTTTTTCCCTCCGTACTTCTTCTTTTGGTGTTGCCGTTGCGGCCCGAAGAAATCACCTTTGATACTCATTGC